AGATAGCTGCGGCAGCACAGCTTGGAGAGCTCTGAAGCGCCCTGCTCCTGAGGCACTCACTGGGCAGAGTGTGTTCTGCTGGGACCACTGATGTTCATCAGGCTGGTTGGGCCTGGCAGAGCTGCAGTGGTGAGAGGACTGAGATATGAAAGAAACAACTCTGCAGACACCAAGGTCAGTGAAGGTGGAGCAGCAGGAGGTGTGCCAGAGCTGAGATTCCCCTGCAGCCCCTGGTGAGATGGCAGGCAGCCCCTCTGCAGCCCATGAGAGGAACGGTGGAGCAGAGATCCACCCTCAGCCCGTGGAGTACCCATGCTGGAGCAGAGATGCCTGTGCCCGAAGGAGTTCTTAGAGGACTGTCTCCATAAGAAGGGACTCCACACTGCTGAGAGAAACAATGGATCAGAGAGACATCTGCAGTCTGTGGAGGACACCACACCGGGGCAGGTGACTGCACCTTAAGAAGCTGTGACTCCATGGGAAAAGCCCACACTGGAACAGTCTGATGGATAAGGACTGGATTCTGCAGGAAGGACTCATGTCAGAGACGTTCATGGAGAACTGTTTCTTGTGGGAAGGGACCCCATGTTGGAGCAGGGGAAGAGTGTGAGGAGTCCTCCTGAGGAGGAAGGAGCGGGAGAAACAGTGTGTGACAAACTGACCTGCAAGTCCCATTTGCCGTCTCCCAGTACCACTAAGTGGAGGAGGTGGAAAAGAAGAGAGGGTGGGGAGAAGGTGTTTTTAAGATCTGGCTTTATTTCTTGTTACCCTGTCTGAAGTGACTGGTAATAGATTAAATTGATTTGTCCCCAAGCCAAGTCTGCTTTGCCCCCCAGGGCATGGTTGGTGGGTGATCCCTCCCTGTTCTTATCTCGACCCTAGAGCCTTTTGTTACATTTTATCCGCTCCACCCCACCGGGAGTGGGTTAGGGGTGGGAGCAGAGGAATGAGTGAGCAAGTGGCTGTCTGGTGCTTAGTTGCCACCTGGGGCTAAACAACAATGTTGTGCAACTATCAACTCGGAAGAGGCATTGGACGAAGGAGTGTTTCCCTTGCGACACCCACCTTTCTAGGGTGGTGGGTGGAGGAGGCTGCAGACACCCTGAGGGAGCCATTTGTCAGTATCCTAGGATATGATGGCTCTTAAGGAAGAGCTTGGGTTTTGGGGGCTGATAGGTCATCCTACTGAAAGGAGAGCAGAAAAAGAGCCATGAAGACTTTACTGGCCACACTTTTAAATTATTGTTGAATGAAGCTTTCCTGGTGCTCCAGCACTCTGCTGTAAAACAGAGTTGGGAAGATAAGAGGGCAGCATTGACTTTCTTAGAGCTCTCTTGTTTGGCAGAGGGGTTATTAAGGGTCCTCTGTCATTGTTTGAGTTGTTTGTTGAGTATTGAACCACAGTGAACTTTTGCCCTTTGTATGACTTCTCTAAAAAGCCCGAGTCAAATTAAATGTCACTAAAATCTTATTTGATGACTACTTCCTGGAGTACTCTCATTCTATTGATTTTTGTGGGCATCCTGCTAACCTTCAGATGTCCTTCCAGTAATCATTTTAGCTTCTGTTTCTTCTTGAAAGAATTCTAACATTGGATAGTTTTCATCTAGAAAGCAGAACAAGGCATCTGTGCTTTTGGTTCATACCTTTCTAAACATGGTTTCCTGATAGACCTGATTTCCTCATAGACCTGACTCCTAATGCATGGGCACACTGATGAGAACCAAGAGTATTTGTTTCAAAGAAAGAACAAATTACTGAAGATACTAGAGTAGTTTGCTTCAGACACCAGTCTGATCTAAAATAATGATTTAACTAGTAGTTTGTGAATAACATACCTTGGGTCAGCATTTATTTGAATAGATGGACTTCTACAAAAAAAAACAAAAAAACAAAGAAACAAACCACAAACTAACAGGAACTTCTCATCTGTATCTGTTTCTAAGAGTTCAGTGCTTCAGAAGGAGAGCCATGAATTTTATGACAGAAATGTATTCCTTAATAGTTTGTTGCTTGTCAGATAACTTACAGCTATTTTCATCACACTTTTTTTCAGTCACATAAATTTTTAATAACAAATACAGTACCAAAATAATCGAATCCAACATTGCATACCAGCTGCTTAGGGATTTTTTTTTTTCTTTATCCAGTAATTTATTACAAGACTAAAGAGTAGTAAGTCGTTGGGGGTTTTTTTCCCCATCGTGTAGGCAATCATTTTTCTCTTCCCTACTACTCACTCTTGGCTTATCTCGTCTTCTCTCCCTTCTTTCCTGTAATTCCTTCTCATAAATGCATACACACTATTTTGTAGTAAGTTCCGCCTATGTTTTTGACTTCTAAAAGCTAAGGAGTTTGCTTCCTTAATTTTGTTTTGTGGGTATGCAGTTATAAAAGTAAAGCTTTTAAATTTTTATCTGCTTGTTCCTGAATGTCTTTCTCTTTGAAGTTTTGATTGAATCTCTGTTAATCTCTTTAACCCCTGAAAGAAGATTACTTTAACAGTGAAGTGGCTGGGAGCAGCAAAGGAGAGGCTGACTGTTTCTCTAGAATGAATTCAGGTCTTCAATAAAGGCTTTTCTTTGCTGTGCTCAAGTATACCAATGGTAGCTTCTTGCTGCTAATCACACCTTAAGTGAGGGAGCGTATGGGTGACAGCAGTTAGGATTGCAGTACAGGGTAGCCTTGCCACTGGCCATTTGATCAAATCAGCAATACTGTGGGCAGAATCCAGCAGTTTTACTGGAATTGGTAAATTGTTTTCTATCTCTTTTTTTTTTTTTTTTTTTAATCTTTAATCAGCCTGTTGTAAGAAGTAAGGGAGGAAAAATATCTGTGATGAACACTTAATCATACAAATGTCCATACGTTTCCTTTTTAATCTGCTTCATTAATGTAAGTAGCTTGTTGGACTTTTGAATTGTGTGTGATGCTTAACTTTCAGGCAAAGGCAGAGAATCAGTGCTGTTAGCAAACACGTTTTGGCAAAGGTGATTGGATTTGTATGCAGTACTAGCAGAAAACTTTGATTGCAGTTTTTTAAAGAGAAGCAAAGAAAGGTGAAAGTAAGACAAAAATTCACACTAGGCAGCCACATGGACAAAAAAAAAGTGATTCAAATTACAGCATCTATTTGCAGTGGAAGAGAAATTAAAAGGATGTGATTGAGTGTTCAATTGACTCATACCATGAATTAATAACTGGCTTTTCTACTGTAGATTGTAGGGCTTCTTTTGTAAGGTATTTAGACATACTGTGTTCTTCATGCATATATTTGAGTCTTGCTCTATTAATGTTTCTGCACAATTAATAAGTTGGCAATAATAGTATCAGAAGTAAAAAAAAAATGCATAAGGTGTGCTTTTGGGATGATTCATTATTCTATGTAAAGCTCAGACAAGATTTGTGAAAATGCAGTTATTTAACTTTGTTGCTGCTTGTTTCTGCACCAGTAATTGTATTACATTACAGCATTAGGGGCTGAATTGACAGGGTGAATATTCTTAATTTTATGAGCAGTAAATTTTGTATGGTGTTTCACTGGCTATGGACCTCCTTCTTTCCAGGAACTCTGATTCACAGTTCTTGAGGAAATTGCAGTATCTTTAATATTGTAATGGTTAGTTATACAGAGGGAATTAGTTTCTCTTATTGTGGCCATATTAAGGCAGTATTTGTTTAGTAAGATTTCCTTTGTTCTGTATTTCTGTGTCTAATAGTCAACAAGGTAAGAGAGAATTGAAAAGGAAAAAAATAGTTAGACACACAATGGGAAACAGTTTCTCTAAGTGTTAGAGTCCATGAAGCTGTCGTAGTTATCAAAAGACGTATTTTTAATGCTTTCAGACTGCTGCTGTTTATTTTTTTTTTAACTGATTCATTAGAGAATGTAGAGCAGTTGATTTCCTATTTTTGTGGAGGCTTCTACCTTTGAAGTTAAAGTAGATTTTTTTACTTTTTTTTCCCCAAGCATATAGATATTTTCATGACAGAGTATTGCTGCATCTGATAGAGACTCCTGTTTTCTTCCTGGTTTGTTTCCTAGCTGGGCTAAGCCAGAAAATGCCTGCTATCAGTTGTCACCACCTAATAAATGGCAGGTGGTGACTCCTTAAGACACAGTCATTTTAATTGTTGGTGACACAGTCTGCTCTCGGATTACCTCCATCAGCAGGTAATATGTGTCCCAGTGGTAAACAACTCTGGCACAGTCTGTCCGTAGTGGGAGCTGTTGGCAACTTTGGGCCACCGGAGCTATAAATTGTCACCTGTCCGGGTACAGTTCAGTTTCTAAACTACAATGAATGTTGTAGATACTCTTTTTTTTTTTTTTTTTTTTTTTTTCAAATTCTAGTTAGACTCTGGGTTTATCCTATGGCTGTGAATATCCCAGGTTGGTTTGTGAGATTTTTTTTGGGGGTCTGGCAATGGATGAAAACTTCTCTACATCTTTAAAGATATTAGTTGTAATACCACAAGCAGGTCAGGGCATTATTGCACAGGTGCTTAAAAAAGAAAGCAGGAGCACCCCCCACACGGCTTCTTATAATTGACTAGGAATTTGTCACCTCTGTTTCTCCTTCCACCCTCCTATAGAAGTCTTCAGTGTGTTTTCCTGATCTGTTACCTGAATCCCTCTTTTCTCTTTTTTTTTTTTTTTTTAATTTTACTTTTTTACCATTTACAGTCCACCAATGAACTGGGATGAAGAATAATTGAAAAGTGCTGTTAGTTTGTGTTGTTGTAAGGGCAGTGTGTCAGAATGTGTTGTTGTAAGGAAAGTGACCTTTCTAGTCTAGGAATGACTTAGATTTTATTCCAGAACACTTTTTCATCGGAGTTTATAAACCGCACATACGAGTAATTGCTAGGGGTTTTTCTGGGTCTTTTAACCAGTAATAAATCCACATTTTTAGTGACTTTTTGGGAATCTTCTATGCTGACTATCAAAAGACGCAACATAGAGATGAGCTTATTTCTTCCTCTCATTCTCACAGAATCAACCATGGGGTGCATAAAAAGCAAAGAAGATAAAGGTCCAGCCATGAAATACAGAACTGATAATACTCCAGAACCTGTTATTTCCCATGTCAGCCATTATGGATCAGACTCCAGCCAAGCAACACAGTCACCATCAATAAAGGGATCAGCAGTTAATTTTAATAGTCATTCCATAACTCCTTTTGGAGGGCCCTCAGGAATGACACCCTTTGGAGGAGCATCGTCTTCATTTTCAGCTGTGCCAAGTCCATATCCTAGTACTTTAACAGGTGAGTGTTATATAAAATCATGCTGCTATTATTGTTGTTGTTGTTATTATTATTATTGCTTGACAGTCATATTAAAAAAATTATGACCCCTTGCCACACAGAAATAATTTGCAAATTTAAAATAAATTGCCTTTTAGGGATTTCTGATTTTCAATATCTTTACTGCTCAAATAATAATTCAGCCCATATTCACTAGTGACTGGGGTGTGAGGGTTGGGTGTTTTGGCTCTTGTTTTGCAGGGTTTTTTTTAGGATCACAGCACAGAGAAACTCAAGGCTTATTAAAGATGGTAGTAGGAATAGTTGATAAAATTCTGTTAGCAGTTCTAAGCTGTTGAAGGGTTATGGCATGTGGGATAATGGATTTAAACTTTTGGAAAAACTTCAGGTTCAGGAAATTGATATTTTAAACTGATTTCCAGACTTACTTGATTAGCTGTAAGTTACTTATATTAATGCAACATTGAATCTGTTCATTTATAAAGCTAAACAGGATATGCAGTATATTCTGTGTACTTTATTATATGAACAATATGTCTGAAACAAAAGAGCAGAATTCCCATTATTGGAGGTTATATTAAAACCAAAGTTGAAAATGTGAAAATAGAATTTACAAGGTGCAGAGACCTTCTTGGCTGAGACATAAAGTCTCTGAAGATACAGCATTTTAAAGTAATACACGCATTTGATGTTATAAAGCCATCTTTATATCAAAATCTTAAAACTTCAGTACAAAAACGTTGCTTTTGTGCACGTAGTTTTGCTGTATGTTTGAGAGGAATATGTAATTTAGTCTTTTTTTGAGAGAGAAAGTAATTTATTCAGAAGCTTTGCACAGACACTTCACAAAACAAGGTAAATAATTCCTTATTAGCCTAGTTCCAGTTTTCCCACAAATCTCTACTGTTAGCACAATTACAGTGCTTAAATGTTTGCTTCTTTACGGTGGCATTTAAAATCTTATAAACACAAGAAATTTGAAATCCATGAAAACCCACTGTGGCCTTGACATTAAGCAATTCAGGAAACCAAATATGAATTGTCAGGTAATGATCATCTCATATTCCCTTTTTGGGAATTCATTAAAAACCAAATAATTAAAATGAGCATCTATCCAGTCTCAAAAATTTTGAGTCAGCTCTGAATCCCTGTTTCAGATGAACAGATGCAGAAACAAAATAAGAGTAGCACTTCTATTTATTCATTAGCTCCACTAAGTAAAGTTTATCACACTTAAAAAAGTCCTCATCTCCTCCAAGAACCAATGTGTATTTCTTCTTACTAGATCTGGTTCCTTGGTCACGTGGGAATCTCCAGCAGTGCGTGCAGGCATTC